AACTGGCACGCCAAGCAAAAGGCGGCCGATATCGACGCCCAGAACGACGTGAGCTCGAGCTCGAGCGTCAACGACGACACGGTGTACGAGTCGACGCACCTCGGGCCGTCCGGGCAGCTCCGCGTGCTCATCAAGCGCAACTTCACGCGGCTGCTTCGTGACAAGATGACGTTCAACGCACGCCTCGCGCAGAGCATCATCATTTCGCTCTTTGTCGGCCTCATTTTTTTTCAGCTCGAGCTCACGCAGGCGGGCGTCCAGTCGTTCACGGGTGCCATCTTCTTCATCGTCGTGGACCAGTTCATGTCGGCGGCCAACCCCGAGTTCATTTCGGTGCCACTCGAGATGCCCATCATGTCGCGCGAGTACCACAGCGGCTTGTACCACTCGTGGGTCTGGTACTTGGCCAAGAACCTCTCGGAGCTCGGGTTCCAGTTCTTCTACCCGATGGTTTTCTTTATTCCACTCTACTTTATGGTCGGCTTTGGCGCCTCGAACGCGACGCTCTTCTTCACCATGTACCTCTTCCTCGCGCTCACGCAGAGCGCGGCGATTGGTCTCGGCTACATGGTGTCGTGCGTCGCTGGTCGCGCCGAGCTCACACCCATCATCGGCATCCTCACGATCCTTCCGTTTCTCATGTTTGGCGGTCTCTTCCTCAACGCCGACATGATCCCGGTCTACTTTACGTGGCTCGAATTCCTCTCGCCGCTCAAGTACGGCTTCCGCGGCGCGAGCCGTGCGTTCTGGAACACGATCACCGACATCCCGTGCCCCCCCGGCGCCGTGTGCAACGCCCGCAACGGCGACGACGTCCTCCGCAACCTCGCGCTCGACAAAGGCTCGATGGGTGGCGACGCTGCGTTTTTGATTTGGATCAACGCCGTCTTCCGCCTCGTCGGCATCGCCGCGCTCTACCTGCGCATTCGCGCCAAGCACTAAACCCACACGAGCAGTATATTAACCCCAATTCTAATTCTTCTTCGTCGTCCGACTAGTAAATGCGTATCGGTTCCAAGCTCCCAACGACCTGTGCAATCGTTCGTTGGTGGCCATTTGGTATTATATATATATAACAAAGTGCGCTTGAACCAGCGCCATTGCACACAAGCGACAAGGCGTAGTAAAGCAGCACTCGGAACCAAGTGAATTATATATGAACGTGTTTCGCGTTATCTTCATAGTTACACAAAGACTTCGCATACGTAGAGACTAGCAATTAGATTGCTAGTCTCGCAAAGGACCGACACAAGCGGTCGACAACAGGGTCGACCGCTTGCGAGGAGAGACGCCTCATGAACCAAGTGAATTGACATATTAATGGTCATTTTTACTTGCGCCTTAACCGAAACCATCGCGGAAGGGTTAGGGTCAACGTTGGCATTGGAATTACATGTCGTTCAAAAGCGCCAAGTAGGGTTTAATTTCGTCCGGTGCCTTGCCAAGCTCGATGAGCTTGAGGACGATTTGCGTCTTGCGATTGCGCTCATCATTGGTGCGACGGTACTCCATCTCGTCGCGCGCTAGTGCCAGCTTGCCTTTCGCCACGTCCATCTCGGCGGTCTGCGTCGCCGTAATCATTGCAGCGACGTCGTTCTTGGGCGCTTTTACGGGTCGAGACAAAAGCGTCGACGGGAGCTGGTCGCTCTTACGCTTGCGTGAAGCGTTTGTGAACGCGGTGAAAATCGATCTACCGATCGTCGCCGGGTCCGAGATTGAAAGCTGTCTCTTCGTCGTCATCGACTTTGTCATCGTCCTCGTCATCTTCGTAGCCGCTGTGGTCTTTGTCGGCCCCGCGGGTGTTCGATTGAGCGCGGCTGTTGTGCGAGGTGGTGCTGCTGACAGACTCGGGCGGCGCAAAAAGATGGTGGAGGAGTGTGAAGTTGGCACAAATCGACTCGAGCTTTTCAGCCATCGTCGTAATGCCTATATCATTTTAGATCGCCTCATGATCAATCCAATGTAACCCTTGGCGCGGTCCCGATCTGTGAGACCAATGCCCCGCAGGGCCAGTGTGTTGACGTCGCGGGCTTTTTGGTAGCTTTTCATGTACGACTCGTAGCGACTCTTGGCGTTGGCTTCCGTCCACTGGCGTCCCGTGCTGGCGAGGAGCTGGTTGACATAATCTGCCAAAAGCTTGTAACCTAGCGAGATAT